TTTTTTTTTTTTTTTTTTTTTTTTTTTTTACTTCTTACTCCATGTCTGGCTGTGTGGTTTGGTGGCTGCCCCCCCCCACAAAGAGCCAAAAGAGTAAATAGTTAAAAAAAAAAAAAGTCAACTATAAATTTTACTACACTTATGTATACTATCAAATCATTTGCAGATAAAGGTGCTTTGATTTCTTCCAATTTGCATCTCCTTGATCTCCCTCGGTTGTCTTGTGACTCTAGCTAAGACTTACATACTATATTGACTAGGCTTGGAGACAGTGGGCAACCTTGTCTTGTCCAGATTTAGTGGAATTGCTTTGAGTTGCTTTCCGCATAAACTGATATTGGCTATAGGCTTGCTGTAAACTGTCCTTATCATGTTGACATATGTTCCTCGTATTCCCAATCTCTCCAGGACTTCTATCATGAGTGGGTGATTTTGTCAAAGGCCTTTTCTGCATCCAAAGAGATGATCATGTGATCTTTGTCTTTCAGTTTGTTTATATGGTGGCTTACATTTATCAATTTACATATTGAACCATGCCTACATTTCTGAAATGAAGCCTGCTTGATTATCGATAATTTTTTTTCCCGGTGCATTCTTGGATTCGGTTTGCAAGTATTTTATTGAGAATTTTTGCATCTATGTTCACATGTAACTTTCTTTCTTTGTTGTAACTTAATGTGGCTAAAGTGTCAGGTAACTATAGTCTCATAAAACAAATTGGGCAATATTACTTCTTTTTTTTTAAATAATTTTAGGAGTGTTGGCATTCAGTTTCTTTTAAATGTCTAGTAGAATTCTGTGCTAAAACCATCCGGCCCTGGGCTTTTTTGGAGGGTGGGGGAGACGTTTAATAATTGTTTCTATTTCAGTAGGGGTTATAGGTCTGTTTAAATTGCTTATCTGATCTTGTTTTAACTTTGGTAGTTAGTATGTGCTAAGAAACTTACCTATTTCTTCTACATTTTCCAATTTAGGGGAGTATAAGTTTTTAAAGTAAGTCCTTAGGATTTCCTTTATGTCTGTTATGTCCCCATTTTCATCCTTAGTTTTGTGAATTTGGATCTTTTCTCTCTGTTTTTTAGTTAATTTGAATATGAGTTTATCAATCTTACTAATTTTCTCAAAGAACTAACTCTTTGTTTCATTGATTCTATATATTGTTTTTGTTTCTATTTTATTGATTTCAGCCCCAAGATTGATTTTTTTCTTGCTATATACTCCCTTTGGGTGTGATTTTTTTCTTTTTCTTTTTTCTTTCTTTCTTTCTTTCTTTTTTTTTTTTTTTGTTGTTGTTGTAGAGTTTTCCGGTGTGCTGGTAAGTTACTAGTATGAAATCTCTCTAATTTCTTTATGTAGGTACTTATTGCTATGAACTTGCCCCTTAGAATTCCCTTCATTATGTCCCATAATTTTTGGTATGTTGCATTTTCATTTTCATTCAATTCTAGAAAGTTTTAAATTTCTTTCTCAATTTTTGTCTTGATCCATTTATTCAGTGGAGTTGTTCAGTTTCCAAGGATTTGTAAGCTTTCTGTTGTCTCCATTGTTGTTGATATCTAGCTTTAATCTGTGATAGTCTGATAGGATGCAGGATATTTTTTCAATTTTCTTGTATCTGTTAAGACTTGTTTTTTGTGTCTGAGTATATGGTCAGTTTTGGAGAAAGTTCCACGAGGTGTCAAGAAGAAGGCACATTCTTTTGTGTTTGGGTGAAATGTTCCATAAATATCTGTTAGGTCCATTTGGTTTATGACATCAGTTAGCTTCAGCATTTCTCTGTTTAGTTTGTATCTAGATGACCTGTCTATTGATGAGCGTGGGGTATTGAAGTCACCCATTATTGGTGCGTGAGGGTCAATATGTGTTTTAAGTTATAGGAATATTTCTTTTATGAACTTAGGTTCCCTTGTGTTTGAGTCATAGATGTTAAGAATTACAATGTCTTTTTGGTGCATTTTTCCTTTGATGACTATGTAGTATCCTTCCCTGTTTCTTCTGATCAGCTTTTTGTTTGAAGTCTATTTTGTCAGGTATTAAAATGGCTCTGCCAGCTTACTTCTTGGGTTCATTTGCTTGAAATACCCTTTTCCATCCTTTTACCTGGAGCTGGTGTCTGTCTTTTATGTTAAGGTGTGTTTCTTGGATTCGGAGGAAGAATGGTTTTGGTTTCTCATCCATTCTGTTAGTCCATGTCTTTTTATTGAGGAATTGAGACCATTGATGTTGAGAGATATCAATGAGCAGTGTTTGTTGAACCCTGTTATTTTTTTCTTGTGGTGTTTGGGAGTTTTTGGCCCCTTCTTTTCATTGGTTAGCCTGGGATTATTGTGTTTTCTTGGGTGTGGTTAACCTCTCCAGGTTGAAATTTTCTCCTGGTGTCTTCTGTGGGGCTGAATTTGTAAACAAAGACTGCTTAAATTTGGTTTTATCTTGAAATGTCTTTCTTTCTCCATCTATTCTGATCAAAAGTTTTGCTATGTATAGTAGCTTAGGCTGGTATCTGCTGTCTCTTAGAATTTCTGGAATATCTGTCCAGGCTTTCTGGCCTTTTCAGTTACCATTGAGAAGTCAGATATTAGAATAATAGATCTACCTTTATATGTTACTTGATCTTTTTCCCCTTGCAGCTTTTAATACTTTGTGTTTGTTCTGTACAATAATCATATTGATTATTTTGTGCCAGCAGGACTGTCTTTTCTGATCCAATCTATTTGGTGTTCTGTATGCTTCTTGTACCTTGATAGGCATCTCCTTCTTTAGGTTAGTGAAAATTTCTTCTATGATTTTGCTGAAAATATTTTCTGTGCCTTTGACCTGGGTTTCTTCTCCTTGCTCTCTTCCCATTATTCTTAGACTTGATCTTTTCATAGTGTTCCTGATTTCCTAGATGTTTTGTGCCTGAAGTTTTTTTTAGATTTAACATTTTCTTTGAGTTAGATATCCATTGCGTCTATCGTTTCTTCAATATCTGAGATTCTCTTTCCCATCTTTTGTATTTTGTTGATGAGGCTTGCCTCTGAGGTTCTTGCTTGAGTTCCTAAATTTTTCATTTCCAGATTTACTGCAGTTTGGGTTTTTTTTTTAATTGATTCTATTTCCACTTTTCAGGTCTTGAACTGTTTTATTAATTTCTCTCCACTGGTTTTTTGCATATATTTCTTTAATTTACTCATTTTCTCTTTAAAGACCTATATCATATTCATAAAGGTTATTTTAAGTTTCTTGTTTTGTCTTTAATCATATTTCATTTCTCGCAATCTACTGTAACAGGGTTGCTGGCCTCTAGTGAGGACGTATTGTTCTGGCTGTTTTGATTGTATTTTTAGCTGATGTCCAGGCATCTGGGTTTGGGAAAATTGTAATTCTAGGTGTGCTGTTAAATATTATGTTAAGATGGGTTACATTTGTTTATGCTGCAAAGATGTGCTGCATTCTTTTATATTGCATTTGTTTAACTCTGTGAAGCTGTGTTATTTTGCCTGTCTGAAACACCTGATTGGTCTAATAAAGAGCTGAATGGCCAATAGCAAGGCAAGAAAAAGGATCAGTGGGGCTGGCAGGTGGAGAGAATAAATAGAAGGAGAAATCGGGGAAGAGAGGATGGAGGAGCAAGAAAAGAAGAGGCCAGCCACACAGCCAGACACAGAATAAGAAGGAAAGAAAAGATGTACAGAAACAGAGAAAGATAAGATACCAGAGGCAAAAAGTAGATGGGATAATTTAAGTTAAGAAAAGCTCGCTAGAAATAAACCAAGCTAAGGCCGAGCATTTATAAGTTATAATAAGCCTCTGTGTGTGACTTATTTGGGAGATGGGCCCCCCAAAAGAGAAAAGAGCCAAGGAGTAAAAACAAATAACAACATAGGTGCTGATACCTGGCCTTGTCTTTGTTGAGAGGATGTTTTGTTCTTTGCTTACTGCTGTCTTCTCTGGTTCTTAGGAGGCTGTGGTGACTGTATGTTGCCTGGTAGGGAATGCTTCTGAGATCCTGCCAGGTGAGACCTCTGGGGATTCCAGGTACAGTGTTCTAGGTATTGGGAGCTGATACTTAGGAATGGGGATGAGCTAGAAGGGGGGCTGAGGGAGTCCACAGGAAGGAGGAAATCAGTGTATTTTACCAGGATCTGCTTAGTTCCCTGGAAATGGGGAGTCTGTCCCTCTAACTCTTACACAAAGCACATTTGACTTCTATCTTGGGCCAGCTTTACTCAGCGCTTACAGATTTCCTGAGCAGGCATCTTAAATGGAGATCCCCTAATACATATTGGGGGACAGCATTCCTCAAGCTGCCTCTCCATGCCACTGCTGACAGTCCCACATCACTGGCATCTACGATATTCAGGAGGCTCCACCTGCAAGGCTCCACCCATATGAACACCAAGCTACACCATGAAGACTTCGCTCAGATCCGTACAGGATTCATGTTGGTGGTCACTTCAGTCTCTGTGAGCCCCGGTGAGCCCTGCTTAGTTGATCCTGTGAGTTTTCTGTGGTGTCCTTGACTCTTTCAGCTCTTACAACCCTTTCTCCCCATCCCCCGTTCTGAGGGATTCCTAAGATCCACCTAATGTTTGGCTGTGGGTCTTTGCATCCCTCTCTGATGGCAATTATGCTAATCTCTGGCCTACCAGTATAGTAGAATATCATTAGCAATCATTTAGTTGATCCTTCTTTTTCTTTCTTTCTTTCTTTCTTTCTTTCTTTCTTTCTTTCTTTCTTTCTTCCTTTCTTTTTTCTGTCATGTTTGGTTCCATCCTAGCTCTCTGGGCTATCCAGCCTCTGCTTCCTGGCCCTCCAGGCAGTGTCAGGGGTGGGCTCCTGTGGTGATGTGTTGTGTCCCCCCAGTATTCTGTGTCTCCAAATAAAATTTGCCTGGAGATCAGAGGAAAAAGCCAGTCATTATATTAAACAGAAGTCAGGCAATGGTAGCACACACCTTTAATACTATCACTTGGCAGGCAGGGATCTGTCTGGCTCTCTGTGAGTTCAAGGCCACACTGGGGAACAGAGCCAGGCATGGTGACACACGCCTTTAATCCCAGCACCAACCATAGAGGTCTAGAGATCTGTACAGACAGACAGGAAATGACAGAACAGGCCAGGATGAGGAAGTGATGTAGCTGAGCTGAGAGAGCAAATCAGAGAACAGAACAGAAAGGCACATAGGTGTGGGTAGACAGGAAGTAGCTCTCTTTGGAAACTCTGGAGTCGGTGGGGTGAGGTTAGCTGTAGCTTTACCTGTTTCCCTGATCTCATGGGTTTTCACCCTTATATGTGGCTCTGTGTTTTTTATTTAATAAGACCGTTTAGTAATTCGTCTACAGGTTCCCTCTCATGGCCTCAAGCTGGACCAGCCATTGGTTGCTCACTCCCACATCTTCTGCGCCACCTTTACCCCAGCACATCTTGCAAGCAGGGCAGATTGTAGGTCAAAGGTTTTGTGCCTGAGTTGGTGGTCCAATCCCTCCACTGGAAGCCTTGTCTGGTTACAGAAGATGGCTCGTTCAGGCTTCTTACCCCCACATTACCAGGAGTCTTTGCTAGGGTCATACTTATAGATTCTTGGGAGTTTCCATTGCACTAGGTTTCTACCTCACCCCTTAAATGCCACCCCCAATTCCAGTCATCTCTACCAGTATTCTCTCCCTCCATTCCTCAACCTGATTCCTCCTGTTCCTGTCCCCATCTACCCTTAGTCCATTTCAGTGGGGAGATTCACATGTCCACCCTTGAGCCCTCCTTGTTACTTAGCTTCTCTGGGTCTGTGGATTGTAGTTTGATTATACTTTACAGCTAATATCCACTTATAAGTGAGTACAAACTCTATTTGTCTTTCTGGGTCTGGGTTATCTCACTCAGGATTATTTTTTTATTGGTTCCATCCATTCGCCTACAAATTTCATGATGTCATTTATTTTTTTTTAACAGCTGAGTAATACTCCATTATATAAATGTACCACATTTTATTTATCCATTCTTTGGTTTAGGGGCATCTAGGTTGTTTCCAGGTTCTGGCTATTATAAATAAAGCTGCTATGAACATAGTTGAGCAAATGCCCTTGCACCTTGGGATTATCCATAGTGGTCTCACTCTCAAGGTGCATTTCCTATGGCAAGTGCAAAGTCTGAAGTTTCCCCTTAAGGTTGCTGATGCCTTTAATAATCAGGGTCACAATGTCTCTCAGCTTAACCAAATTTAAGTTCCTTTCCTCACCAAACCACACACTTTCCTTATCTTTTTGATCCATGTTTTGTGCCCCCTTCCTCTCTCCTACCCCCTCTCTCCCCTTATCTCCCCCCCAACTCTGTCTCTCTCTGTCTCTTTCTCTCTCTCTTTCAAACACACACACACACACACACACACACACACACACACACACACACGCACTGTGACTCTGGGTAAATGAAGTAGCAATATATATTTAATATATATGCCACAGTCTGAAAATATGCTGTCTTGGATCTTCTTCCACCAAACAAATTAATGCATCACTCTTGAATTCGGCTTCAACCACGTTCTCAGGACACAGGTGGGTGCAGTCAGTTGGATTCTCTACTGGAGTATGACATAAATAGCCTCTACTTCAGTTCCTGATCGAGTCCTTGATCCCCTATGAAACCCCTTGAGCACGACTTTTCCTGTCAAAATGTCTACACCATTCTGGTTTTCTGAGCTCCCACCAGAGTGGATCACCAAGACCCGCTTACAGCGTTAGTGCTTCACCAGCCCATGGATCTGAAGTCTTCACATTCCTCCCCAAAGCCAGTTTCAAAGGCCCTGGACCCGCAGGGTCAGGTAGTCACAACAATGGTCCTGCTTCTCAGTGCCAATTTTCTGTCTTACCTACTTTTCTCATTATTGTGACTAGACTCTTGACAAAAATCAGCTTAAGCGGGGGAGGGTGTTTTTTGGTTCATGGTTTGAAGGCATGCAGTACATTATGGATGGTGAGGCAAGGCATTGTTGGCTTTCTCATTGTGTACATTTTATTCAGTGTTGGCCTCCAAACTTGGGGTGATGTCACTCATATTCACAGCAGGTCTTCCCCTTTAGCTAATCCTCTTTGGGAACACTCTCACAGGTCATCCAAAGTCATGTCACACCAATTCCTCAGCATTTCTTTTACTCACTCTTGGATTTATTTACTTTTATTTTATGCATAAGAGTGTTTTGCCACTATGTATGTATGTGTGCCCTGAGTGTGCATTGCCTAAGGAGTCCAGAAGAGGGCGCCATATCCGCTAGACCTGAAGTTACAGATGCTTGTGAGCCACTGTGTGGATACTGAGAACCTAATTTGGGTCCTCTGCAAGGGACCAAGTGTTCTTAACTGCTGAGCCATCTCTCCAGCTCTGCTAGACATTTCTTAATCCAATCAAGTTGACGATTAAAATTCATCATCGTAGCTGCTATCCCAAAATACTTGAATATGGGGCTTATAAAGAAAAGTTGGATCTAGTCACAGTTCTGGATGTTCAAGGGCATACGCTGGCATCGATTCAGCTCTGCAAGAACCTCATGATGAATGTCATGGCAATGGCGGGAGCATCAGTGAGGAAGAGATCAGAGAGCAGAAAGCCCAGTTTGGGTGGCTTATAACAACACCTCCACAGGAACTAACGGAGCCCTTCCCAAAGCAACATTTCTAAGAATCACTAAGCCTCAATTCTTTTTCTTGTTGTTGTTTGCTTTTTGTTCATTTGTCTTTTGAAACAAGGTCTCTCTACATAGCCTGGCTGTCCTGGAACTTACTATATAGACCAGGCTGGCCTTGAACTCACAGAGAGTCACCTGCCTCTGCCTTCTGAGTGCTAGGAGTAAAGGCGTGTGCCGCTGCTGCTGCCACCGCCACCACCACCACCACCAGGCTAAACCTCAATTCTCTAAAGTTCTATCACTTCCCAGCATTCCCAGCACCTTCATAGGCAGATATGGATACCTTGAAGTACCTGAGCAAACCCGCAGACCCTCACTAGGAAAATGATCAGACACGTCTGCACGGCCAATATTTTCTATGATTTCAGGGTTTCAGGCACATTTTTCTTTCAACGGTTCTTTCTACGAACAGTCCCCTCATTCGGGACAAGGGTTCTCTGAGTGTGGTCTCCAGCACCCCGCTAGTGAAACCTGTGGACGTGCCTGAAAACACAGGTTTCCGTGCCCCGCTCTAGATTCCGAATCAACATGGCTGGTGCAGTGAGCAGCAAGCTGCGTCGTAAACAGCCTTTAGGGGGCTCCGCGGCAAGCAGGGCTTTAGAAACCTTGCCTGTAAGGCTTTAGACCCTGGGTTAATCATCTCAGTTCGAGCAGAGCCGGGCCATTTTTCTTGTTTGTTCAACAGTTCATTTTCCACTCCCTCTGGGGACCTTCTGTCACTAGCTCTCATAATCACAGGCTCCCATTTCACCATCCGTTTAGGAATGGTCGGGACACAAATTGGCATCTTTATTCTAGTTCTTGTAAAAACCCTTACAATGTCTAATGCAAAAATAAATAAATAAATAAATAGCAGATGAGGCCTCTGAGGGGAAGGGAAATAACTTGGGCGAGCCCTGCTAAAAACCTGACTCTGGCTCTCGTCATCTACAGGATCTGCGTCGTTGCGTAGTTGCCTCGCCACGTTAAATGCCCTCGTGCACTCACTCGCCTGGAGGATATGAAGTTTCAAGAAGGCGTTTATGACTCAAATCTGTCACTGAGAGAAGCAATCTGCAAACAACACCCCTGAGTGTCGCTCTGTCCCGCTCCCCGGGCATTCTGTCTCTACCTCTTATAATCGACTATGACAATGCTCTCAGTGCTCTCACTCTTAGATGTCGCAGGAGGCTCAGTTTCCTTTTTCATTTCAGGGCCATACTGTAAAGCCATTTAGCCCACATTCTAATGGTGTTTTCCCAGATTCTGCGTTTTCATTACCCATCCTGAATAGGATATACTCCCAGAATGCACTGAGGCATGCATAATACCCACTGAGGAGGAAGCAATCGGGTCTCAGAATATAAAATGGGATCAGCACATTTATCCCTCAACTTTTCATGCTAGTAATTCTCTTTGTGCATTGCTTGCTCTCCAGCTCATAGGCTGACTCAGTTTCCTATTGCCTGGAGGCTATATAATTCTTGGAATAGCACTGGCTATACATTATCCAGCTATGATGTCAGTCACTACCATATTTGTCAGAAACCAAATCCCCAAATTCTAAGCCTATTTCATACCGTTAAGCATTTGAAGCATATGTTTAAAAAGACTCAGCTGTTTTATGAATCTTTAAAAGCTGGAATGTGTCATCAAATGGAAAGTGGATATTGTTTTGAACATTTAGCTTAAGCATTTGGATTACTTCCCTTGGAGATCCAAAATCCATAAACCAAGTTAAAAAAAAACTGAAGTTGGTTGTTTTACTGGAGGATTATATTTAAGTTATCATGTTTACAGAGAGCCCCAAACCTTTAGGGGGTTTTGATGCAGGAAATGATAGCAGTCATTGGGAAGGTGGGTCTCTAATAAGCAGAAATGGAAAATTAGAGCAAGAGGGGACTTGGGTCCAAAGACTAACATAGTGGCAAGTTCATCAGACTTGGAGTGCTGAATTAGCCAGCACCCTAGGAATGCCAATGGGCCTCTGACACACACTCAGATAGATAGATAGATAGGTAGGTAGATAGATAGATAGATACATACATACATACATACATACATACATACATACATGATAGACAAACAAATAAATAAATTAGCTAATTTGCTCCAAATATACAAGGCTGGTTCAAAATTGGAAGATTATTCAATGTAATCCCCTGAAGAAAGCTGGAAAGGAAAATCTGTAAATTTCATCAATCAATGTATCAAAATGGTTAACCAAATTGAACACTATTTGGTGACAAACCAAGTTTTTAAAAACTCAGAAAAATAGGAAAATGGACGCTTCTCTAACTGATAAACAAACTCCTACAGGAGACTCACAGCCAACCCTACACCGAATAATGAAAGGCTGAACATTTCCCCCTGGGATCTGGATCACCCCAGGGGTGTCTGTTGCTTGTTGCTCTTGTTTGACATGGTGCTCTAAGTTCTCTCAGAGCAAAAGAGCAGCAGTCAGAAATAAGACATACATACAGACTGAAGAGCGAGAATAAAACTGCCCCCATGTTCAGTTGACATTATTGCTTATCTAGACAATCTTTTTTAAAAGTTTTTTTTAATTTAACTTTATGTAAATGTGTGAGCACCTGAATGTATGCATGTATGTGCACAGTGTGCGTGCCTGGTACCTTCAGAGGTCAGAAAGGGGCATAGCATCCCCTGGAGCTGGAGGTAGAAGATGTTATGAACTGCCACATCGGTGCTGGGAACCCAATGCAGACCCCCTGAACGAGTAACAATAGCACCCAGGAGATCTTAGCGGGGGACTATCCCTAGAACTAATAAGAACATCATGCATATATCCACAACTTATTCGTCTTACATTTAATTGAATTTCTGCATACGTTGATCCCTGTATTGTTTCTTAACCATTCTAATATAAATGAAAACAGAGAAACCTCACAAGTAAAAATAGAGTATAAGGGATTATCACAAGGCACACAGCACCCAAGTTATAATAAGAACTTTGCTAGCCATCCCAGATCCCCTCCCTGAGACCCAACCTTACAACAGCCTGCTGCCCATCAAGTGACTACTATCCTGACTCTCAGTTGCTCCACTGGGGTTTCTCCATAGCTTTCTCAGACGTTCTCCATACGGGAGGAAGGAAATCTAGAGGTCACTGACCAAGTTAATAAAACTCCTACTTCCAAATTAAAATGGAAAGAATCAGAATCTACTTATGAGAACTGGTGAGATTGCTCATTGGGTAGAAGTGGCTGCCACACAAGCCTGGCGGCCTCTATTTGGTCCCCAGAATTTATGTAAAATGCTGAATGCAGTGACGCACATCAGTAATCACAGGGCGCCACAGCAAGATGGGAGTTGGAGGCAGGAGACTCCCCAGGAATGTGGAGGCCCACAACATGGAGTACACAGTAGGACAGAAACAAGAGAGATCCTGCCTCAAAATAAGGTGAGAACTGACTCCCAAAAGTTGTTCTCTGACAACCACCTGTGCTGTGGAATGAGCACACCCATACACACACACACACACACACACACACACACACACACACACACACACCATGCATACACACAACAATAATAAGTATATCTTCAAAAAAAAAAATAAAGGGCCGAGCGTTGGTGGCGTACACCTTTAATCCCAGCACTCAGGAGGCAGAGCCAGGCAAATCTCTGTGAGTTCAAGGCCAGCCTGGTCTACAGCGCGAGATCCAGGACAGGCACCAAAACTACACAGAGAAACCCTGTCTCAAAAAAAAACAAAATAAATAAATAAATAAAAATAAAGACTGATTTTGAAATATATCCACATATTCCCCAAATATTTTTTCTTAGCTTGAAGTAAAAGACAAAACAACAATGAGCAATTCATTGGCTACAAGTCTACCACAAAATATCAGTCTTCAATTGTCTTCAATTTATTATGGGGCAGGGGAAAGCACTCCTTGGAGATAAGACTCCAGCTATGAGATAGGAAATGTACAGGAGCTGGTTACAATGCCAGACAATGAGTGTGTTCCTAGAAACTATCAATGGGCAAGCATCAGCCAACAAGACTCAGAGCCAGCTCAAGGAGATGTTAGCAGACCAAAGATAAGACAATAAAAGCTTCCTTCCTGCTGAATTCCAGGTGCTGAAACCCACCAGGAGCAGGGCTGGTCCTGCCTTCAGTTCACACTAGAGCTGTGTTGTTCACCCAGAGGCTTCTGGCTTTCTGGACTGAGAGGCTACGAGCTTCTCATATGGCCTCTGTGTGGGGAGGGCTGGTCTAAGGAATACCCTCCCCCATCAGTGCAAGTTTCTTCGAGAGTTCTGTTTCTAGAGGAGCCCAGGATGAGAAATACTGGAACTTTAACATCCTGGTTTGAAACTCATAAAAAAAAACTGTAGTAATTAAACATCAGTGTATCATACAATCTCAAAAGAGAAGCAGAAATTGATGCCTGCCAAGACCAAACACAGCCCAGAATCTTGCCAAAGGACTTGAACTCAATTCTAATCCAGTCTGGACCAACTGCCAAATGCCAGAAAAGACAAAGGACACAGATTATGGTGACTGAATCACAAGGCACAGTTGGTAAAGTCCAGACTGTGAGAAACTCTGCCAGTCTCAAGGTCTATTGTAAAAAAGAAAAATGAGCATAGAGAGAAACCCCACACACTGTAAGAGTTGATTGAAAAGCAATGCAATCTGACTCCCAGTACATCCAAGAATAACACATGTTCTTCTATTTTCTTATAGAACCAAGTACTGGTATAAAATATCATATAATAATCTAATTTTATCTCTCTTAGAAACCAAGAGCGCTTTGTCCTAGGTATTTAAATTTTTTGTTCTTTTCTACTAAAATCCAGAATGTCTATGGCTGTGATCTTCAATATTTGCCATTTTTTCTTTCTAATCCCTTCTGATTTGTTTTTACTTCTTTCATTTCCAGCTATTGCTTATTCGTTCTTGCATTATATTTCTCATTTTCTCTTCATTCCAAAATTTCCAGTTCCCTTTCATTTCTAGTCTTCTTTTGAATTTTGCTCCATTTCTCGGGGCTTTCTAACTCTCATTGGGTTTCCTTTCACGTTGTGTGTGTTACAATAGCACTTTGACATGTGACCTTATGCTGCTGACTTCTGAATTTCATAAGAAAAAGAAGAAAGAAAAAAAAAGAGCAAGCACTAAATGTTGCCCTTACAGGTCAAAAGTTAGGCACATCCAAAGGCGTATTTAGAAACTTATAGTTTACATGCAAATGTTGAAAAATAAAAAAGCTGTATAGAAATCATTGAAATTTCTTTCTCAGAAAAAGAGCAACAAATAAGACTAAGCTAGGGATCCCAGCTGTTTGGGAAAAAGGACACAAGAAGGTCGCAAGTTCAAGGCCAGCCTGGACAACGTAGTGCAGCCCCCATCACTTAACTTTTTTAAAGATTTATTTATTTTTATTTTGTGTTAGTGTTTTGCCTGCCCGCCTGTCTGTCTACCACATATATACCTGGTGCCCGAGGAGGCCAGAAGAGAGCTTTGTATCTACTGGAACAGGAAACTGTAGACAGCTGTGAGCTGCCACGTGGGTACTGGGAATTGAATTTCGGTCCTCTGGACGGGCCACTAGTTAGCGCGCCTAACCACTGACCCATCCCTCCAGTTGATTTCTAGGCCTTCAGAACTGGTTTGTAGGAGGAATGTAGGAAAATCTGGAGCCACAGGCTAAAGAAGTCCTAGAATACGTACACAGAGGTCAGGAGTGGGAGGTCAGAAGAGAAATACCGGCAGTATAGTCCAAGTTCGTGAGCTTCAGGGGAATAAGGACCATACCAGGAACTGGACTAGAGACCATTCATGTTCCACTCTAGCAAAGAATATGGCCGTGTTCTGAAAACTTGGTGAGGCTGAATTCAAAAGGCATAGACTAATTTGTCTGGTGGAGGAAATTCCAAGCTAGAATAATGCTCAGGCTCTGGAATCATTGTTGCTCACTTTGTTAGGAAGATTTACAATAAGAGAGAGCAAACTGTGGAGCCGAAAGATTGAAAACTATTCATGCAGCTCAATGAGTGAAGGAGCCTGAGGCAAACTAAAGATGGAGAACTGGCTCTAAGAACAGACCAGCATTAATTGTTAGAGAGATTGTTGTCATTAATGGAAAACAAGGGACTTTGCCTGGGACCACGGAGAAGGTACCCTGAGGACAAGACCTGACCCATTGAATGCTTTATGTTATAAAAATGCAAACCCATTTGAAAAACTTTCATTAATAATAATAATAATAATAATAATAATAATAATAATAATAATAAAGCATTTAACATATCTGTTGAGACTGGGTTCCACAATTCTGCACTTTGATTGGTTGTGGTTCTCTATAATGGTCTCTGTCTGTTGTAAAGAGAAGTTTCCTTGGTGAGGAGTGAGGACTACGATTATCT